TTATCTCTCTTACACACTATTACTCGACTGATTTTTTTTTTGCTTGCTCCAGTCTTTTATATCCCACTCAATTTCCCTTGGCGATATTTGTCTCCTGACACTCTCCACCTACATCAATGCACCCTATATCCTGGTGCTGTATATAAGCATCTCATTCAGATAATGGTATCACTCTTTCTATATATATATATATAAAACCAACAACAACAACTACTGATTAACAAGCCACTTTACAGTATGAATTCCCACATTATTATTTCTAGAATGGAGGCAAATTAGGTCTCCTATCCCACCTGTGATATCTAGCACGCACAACAATCAAGGGGAGCCACTCTCAGTTGAGACTGTCAGTGATCTTATTCGTAGTGAGATGGAGACATATATATTCTGTTTCATGGTGTTCCTCCAGGGGGCTCTGAGGCTGCAATTGAGGGCATTCCTTGACATTCTGGAGAGAATTTAGATTCACTTTTTCCTGCGTCTTGTTTTAGTCTGTTGGCATTTCATTCTCCCCGTGGGACAGTGGTGAGTTTACAGACTTACAATGCTGAAATCCAGGGTTTGATTCCTATGGTGGACACAGCAGATAGCCTAATGCTGCTTTCCTCTAACAGAACAAACTTACCTGATTAAATGTTGTTCCAATTAATGGTAATCAACACAGTTTTAAAGGAAATAACAAAACAAAAAGGAGGCCATTTTGAGATAAGCTGCCTTTGATTTGTTTTCTTCAGTTGGTTCATTGAGAGTGTGATGTTTTGGGTCTGGGAGCTAATATTTAGTTTTCTTTCCATTCACAGACATTGTGGTTCATGCAGAGAGGTTTACTTCTTACATGAAGGGACAGTTATGCCTTATCTGATAAGGTTGTTGGAACTTTATGATTTAGCTTACCAACGCTAGGTGGAAGCATATTCCAATTCTCAAATAATACATCTCCTCCTCAAATTTAGGGGCTCTAATGTGGAATTTGTAGTTAACCTGAATAGATCAATGTCCCCTGGTGGGACAGGGCCAGTCTATGTTTTGTTTTTCTTACACTGGACTTTGTGAGAAGACTCAGGATCACTAACTTCATTGATGATGAGCTGGAACCATGCACATTGGTTCAATTGTCAGCTTCCACATTCATCTCTGTTGTTGTTGGCCTCTTGAAATTCATTGGCTTCTATAGGGGGTCATAGTTCCATGCTTATTCGAGGGTCCCGACCCCTGACATCAGCCCCTCGGTACATTGGTACCCAGAATATAATCTGTCTATATCCAAGGATTCTGCTGTACTGTTGGATTGCCACCAGTGGCATCAATGATTATTGTATGCCTTCATGGTCCGTGGAAGCTCAGCTCCGAGAATTCTGGAAGTTGCATTTAACCTGTATTGCTTTGGGTAATGCCTTACTGTTCAAGGAATATCCTCAACCTTCCAATCTGTTTCTGGATATGAGTTCTCAGGTATATTCCTTTTCTTATTCTTTTACCCATGTCTTTTACTATTTCCCATTATTTACTCCGTGAACTCAATTCTCAGGATGTTGTTGACATTCTTGAACAAGTCTACACTCTCACATATGTCTAATTGTCCTTCTTTTGTGACTCTTTTTGTCCTGACATGCAATTATTCTTCCTTTTCTAGAATCTCTGTCTTTGAATTATTTTTTTTTTTTTACCTGGTTAGGGAGTAGACCCCTTACCTTCTGTTTTGCTCTTTCGTTCTCCATTTTTGGGTATTCATCTTTTTCTCAGAACACCTATATACTACCTTTCCTCACTCCACCTTTTTTCTCAGCTAAGAGAAGAGTTGAAGAAAATGACCAGATGTACCAACTAGCAAGTAGGTGTGAGAAAGGACTTGGATATTGTCACAACCTATCCAAACCAAGCAGCCTCTTGCAGAAGAGGAGATGTATGGGGAAAAGGAGTCCTCCCATGTATGGGCCAATAGGAGCCAATCATCCATTTAGAAGTGGACTCTCAGTCCCATGCCGTGAAAGTGAAATTGAATACATAATGGGTGATTGCAATCTTGATGGATAAAAATTTAAATTGTTTGGAAGATGGGACAGTTGGGATGTAGAGGAAGGCATTCAACACGTTGACTTTGGTCCTCCACTGCCCAGGTGAAAAGAACCACTGGAGTGTGTAAAAATTTTCCACCTGGAATTGTGGAATCGACCACAAAGTGGTGGAGATATGACCTTGGGAACTACAGAGAGACCAGACAAAAAGTAAGGTATAAACTCTTTCGCATTATTTCAGTACTACTAAAATGATATCCCTGGAGAAAGTAAGTTTTTAGCCAAAAGTCTGGACCCCAAAATCTCTGAATAATCCTTTGGAAGGCCCAAATTTCTCACCAAATCATTAAGTTCACCTTGTGTGAAAAGTTGTGGTTCACCAGATGGTTGAGGTTGAAAACAATCCATATCATCATTTTTATTGACATCAGATTCAGAATCAGATGAAACTGTATCAAAAGTTTCTGGTGGAGTAGGTACAGGTACTTCAGGTCCATGAGCAAGGGTCTTATATAAAGTAGATTGAAGTTCAGATAAGAAATTTCCTTTTTATTTTGGGTGTTATAGTCTTGTATGTTACATGAGCAAAAATAGCAGTCATCTCCCTGGTTTATAGGCTCATGCCAGACCATTGGAATTCCAAAAGGTAAAGGCTTTTTCTTTAGCCCATTGTTTCAACTCTTCGACACAAATGGTGCAAACTTTGTGTGGAGCCCATGATTTATCTTTAAATATTACATTTATCCCCAAGTTTTATTCCAAAATATGCATAATATGCTCTCATGTCATGATTGGTCAAGAGCCTGTGTGGGCAGCCCATTGGCTAATGGCCATTTCACAAAAATGTGTGGCCAACTTGTAGAATCATCGATAGTGTGTTTTTTAGCTGGTCAGAAAAAAAGAATGCCAAATCTCTCATTGAAATTTCATGCTTTTGTAATTTTGAAAAATATTTTTTTGTATTTTTGCATTGTTTTTATAATTGACTATGACTTTCATTAGAATCCTGAAATAAATTTATTTAGTGAAACTTTTCTGTTTTATTAATAGTATGGCCATTTCTGTGATCGACTGGCCACATTTATGGCCAGAAAAAATATTTGGTTGCCCACCCATGGTCTAGAGAAATCTATAGCCAATGGTTGTCAAGATTTTAAGCATAACAAAATGTGACCCAATTTTATTGAAAATGATTCATTGAGGTAAAAGTATATGTGATGTTTTGTGAAAAATATGTATGTGATGGAGAAAAGTGGATATCATTTTCAGATTCAGTGTACAGGAATTACTGTAGAACATGTAAAAATATTAAGACATAAAATTATCGCAGGCCTGTGTTATGATTATAGTAAATTATACTCATCATTGAATAACAATAGTTACAGTTGATTTTTAAAAACATTTAAACCAGGTACTGCATTGGACTGTTAGACAAGAATAATGGAACAATGAAGGTCTATAGCACCCAGATGTTTCACATGCGTCCGAGTTTAGAAGATGCTGGTAAATATGATGTGCAATACACTGTATAGTATTTAGAGAAAGTTATTCCAGTAGATACCTAGTCTATTATATAAAACACTTTATTTTGCTTTAAGCTAGTATTATTGAAAATTTTTATCTTTTGCAAGTAGAATTGAAAGAAAAGGTAATCTAAAATACTAATTTTAAGCTCCTTGGGATTTAATAAAATGTATACTTGTCTGTGTTTGGAAAATTTCTGTTCAGGTTTGATCATTTTAAGTGTTCGTGTGTGGTTATTTTAAGTCATTTTTTAATTCTAGGGAAAACTTAAAATATACTTTGGGGCTAACTCTTTGGTGTATATATTGAACATTTTCAGGCTCTTTTGTGAGCTCTTCATCAGGTGAAAGACAATTTGAAAAACAATATTACTTTAAACACAGCAGTGTAAAACATTACATAAAGTTCTACAATTTACCATGTTATAAACAGAAAAATGTACAATAGGTAGTTTGTTATATGAATTAAATACTTGAATTTAAATATGTAACTGTAGTGAAAACTACTTATAAAATCATAAATTATTTGCACATACCAGACATTAAAAAAGGGGAATATAAATGTATTTCTAACAAGATATAAAAAAAAATTCACACAAAGAAATATAATCAATTCATGAGACACCATAACAAGACAATATTATTTTATTTCACAATTTGCTTATGTGTATTCTACTATTGTCACGATTCAAGCTATTTTTGGTCCAGAATTTCCACAGTTGCTGATGTGTATTCTATTAAAGTAATGATTCAAACCATTCTTGGTCTAGAATTTCCAATTTGTTGATGTGTATTCTACTATAGTCACAATTCAAGTTATCTTTGGTCCAGAATTTCCACAGTTGCTGATGTGTATTCTATTAAAGTAATGATTCAAACCATTCTTGGTCTAGAATTTCCACAGTTTGCTGATGTGTATTCTACTATAGTCATGAGTCAAGCTGTCTGTAGTCCAGAATTTCCACAGTTTGCTGATGTGTATTCTACTATAGTCACGAGTCAAGCTATCTGTAGTGCAGAATTTCCACAGTTGCTGATGTGTATTCTATTAAAGTAATGATTCAAGCCATTCTTGGTCTAGAATTTCCACAGTTTGTTGATTTTGTATTCTACTATAGTCACGAGTCAAGCTATCTGTAGTCCAGAATTTCCACAGTTTGCTAATGTGTATTCTATTATAGTCACGAGTCAAGCTATCTGTAGTCCAGAATTTCCACAGTTTGATAATGTGTATTCTATTATAGTAATGATTCAAGCCATTCTTGGTCTAGAATTTCCACAGTTTGTTGATTTTGTATTCTACTATAGTCACGAGTCAAGCTATCTGTAGTCCAGAATTTCCACAGTTTGCTAATGTGTATTCTATTATAGTAATTATTCAAGCCATTCTTGGTCTAGAATTTCCACAGTTTGCTGATGTGTATTCTACTATAGTCAAGATTCAAGCTATCTGTAGTTCAGAATTTCCACAGTTTGCTAATGTGTATTCTATTATAGTCATGATTCAAGCTATCTGTAGTCCAGAATTTCAACAGTTTGCTACTGTGTATTCTATTATAGTAATGATTCAAGCCATTCTTGGTCTAGAATTTCCACAGTTTGCTGATGTGTATTCTACTATAGTCAATATTCAAGCTATCTGTAGTCCAGAATTTTCACAGTTTGCTAATGTGTATTCTATTATAGTAATGATTCAAGCCATTCTTGGTCTAGAATTTCCACAGTTTGCTGATGTGTATTCTATTATAGTCATGATTCAAGCCATCCTTGTACCAGAATTTCCACAATTTACCGAATTAAACAAATCTGAAGGTATCTTCTGGTTTCCCCAGTGTACTTATTCCCATAATTGCATTTTATGCCATAAATAACATTTTATTGTTTAAGTTTTATGTAGCAATTCTTTGACCTTGGTCTTTTAAATTGTTTTTGAAGATGACATAAATACTATATTTTCTACAAGTATGGTGAAATTTTGGTCTAAGTTCTGGAAGAATGGGTAATACAGTATAGATGTCTCATTTTTCTTTCTTGTTTTCACTTTGTTGATGTTCTTTAGTGGTACTTAATGAAGTGATTCTAAGAATTAAGGATTACAAAGACAGAGGATTCATAAGAAAATAGATGTGATAACTCTTTTTAACCTGTGTATGATGACTAAAATCAAACTTTAAATACTGATAGGTGTTTTTTAGTTTCTGTATTCTTGCAACTATTGTTCAGCCAGCTTTTATTATCATAGTACCAAGGAAAGTGTCAGTCAAAGTATGCCAGTAATACAAATTTAGTCACAACAACAATTATGCAGAATATTTACCTTGAGCAATGCATAGTGTGCACTGGAAAAAAGGAAGGGATGTTAATTTTTTTCTTCTTTTTCTGCTTACTTCTCTGCATCTGAATGTTTTCTATGAATTTAATTGAATCTTTATAATCCACCCAGTGGCTCAGCAGTATATCTGCAGAATTACAATGCTAAAATCCAGGTTTCAATACTCATTGTGGCACAGCACGGACATCCCATTATGTAGCTTTGTGCCTAGTTTCAAACAAAGCATTTTTTATAAAATATGATAAAATTTTGGAAGGGTTCTCATTCTTAAAATCAATGAGTTAAGTTCTTGAAAAATTAATAGCTAGGTTATAAAGTTCTACCTCATGTATATGCATTTATTATAATATACTATAAATATCCACTAACAGTAATCGCAATTCACACAACATTCAGCCTTGATAATGGATGCAGAGTGCATTCGAAACACGTCGGCCAATTCACCACTATCTACAACTTTTGCCTGTTGTTCTAACAACGTTAAAACGGCTTATCGACTTCTTGAGAAGATTTCCAAGAAAAAGTAAACCTACAGACATCGGTCTTTATTCAACAAAATCTGCTTACAAGAAAATCTGTCACCAAAGTACACCAACATGCATTTATTATTATTAAATGTTTTTATTTAATATTCTGAAGTGTTGAAAGTTACAGATAACAAGATTTGACTTTATATACATCTCGAACTGTAAAAAATTTTAGTTATTTACGGTTACTATTTTGTTTATTTCTTTCCTTGTCTTATTGGTCACCAAGATGTTTTGTGTATGATCTTTGCAAATGTAAACTGTTTTATGTACCACAGTGAAATAAAATCGCTATCACAAAATATTACGAACATACAAAATTCATTCTTTATCAAATATAGGTGGTTTTGAAGAAACAGAAAACCCAACTGAGAAGTCTAAAAGTTACACTGAAAAGGTGAGTAATGATGGTACTACATGTAGCTACTACACTGTAATGTATACACAAATTGATCTACAAATAATACAGTGTAATACAAACTAATTCCATATAATGTCATTGTTACATAATCTAAATGTAGCTGAATTTCATACACAATACTTCATTTGTTTTCCCTATCATGGATTTTTACTGGATAATTCCCCAAACAATTAAAAGTTGTATTTGCAGCCCAGAATGTTGTTTTTCATTCTTGCAATGTTCAATGATTTGCATTATCTGTACACATTGTTAACCCACATTTGGATTGTTTTTAACCACCTAGGATACATTTAGCTAGTTAAAAAAGCATATTTGTCATTTCCCAAATGAAGGCAGTATATTTAGTTGTCTAAATCAAAAATGGCTCATAATAACCTATGGGTGTCTCTAAGGGATGACAAGTATTCTAACTGAGAATGATGATATGAATTACATTAAGAAACTAGTGGAAAATGGTTTTGTTTTCACTAAGTCTATGTATTCTCTGACCAAATGATAACAGCTATACATAGTCAAAGCAAACATGAGGACAAAAATGGAAGATGTTGATTGTTAGCTGTTTTATCAACTTGCATTTACAGCTATATAATGTTATTTTACTGTCGTAATTGTGTTTTTCCTTATTGACTTAAATATTATTGTATATTGCTATTTATACAACTCCTCCTCCCCACATCAAAAGTCACCTATCTCTAGACAGCATTTTTTTTAATTTCTAGAAGATTAACACAGCAAGGATTGTGCATTTCAAAATATCATACTTTTTCTGAAAGAAACAGAGTAAAAAAAGAAAAAGCATTTCATGCACTGAAGTATTACATAGGTTTTGCTACAAATGAGATATATGAAACAATTATGAATTCCACTCTTTCATAACTAGTTTAGAATGTATCTTTCAAAAATTTTTATGCACTTTCTGCATGTAGTTAATCGCATTCTTATTAACTCTCCTTACATGCATCCTTTTCTGCTCTTGTCACAAGGTTTTAGTGAGTTACATCAAAATTCAGTTAAACTACTTTTCTATCATGGTAGTTGAATGAACTTAATATCAAAACATAGCTAATAATTCAAATTCTAATGCTATAGAAGTTTTAATCTATAGTATGAGAATTGTGACATTTGCTCTTTAGGCATCCACTCATCTCTTAATTTATTTATTACCCTCTGAGAAGTATGAAATTTGACTTAAATTATTCATTATGATATTGTTATTACTCAGGCAAAACATAATTTTTACAACTTTCAATTTTATTTGGTTACAAAGCCATATGGGGGAAAATCAGACCCTTTTTGCCATGCTCACCTGTCACATCCTATGTTTTACAAATTGCCAATAGTTTTCTCTGATGTTTAATACTATATTATTTATAACCAATAGAAAGCCTAAATATTAATTTATCAAATGGTGTATTATATTCCATTGTTTTCTGTAGAGAGAAATGTCAATACACTTCCAGTTCAAACTTTATCCCTATGAAAAACACATCTATGAGCTTAGCTAAATTTTCAGTGACATATAGTTTGAAAACCAGAAAAATTGTGCTAGTTATAGGATATTGTCTGCTTTTTGTGTGTTATTATCTGTGTTCTTGGTGCATTGTTTAATTAAATAAAAAAATATTTAGGGCAATAGTACCATTAATATAAAAAAGCTGGGTTAAGTGTCATCGACAGCAAAAAAAAAACAGGTAAGTACTATCTTTTTTGTTTTTCATGTTTGTTCTTTATTTATTATTATAAAAGTAACTAAAATCTAAAAATTGGAAGTTTTTAGGTTAAATAAGCTTAGATTAGGTAAAGGAAAGAAAAAAAACTTTTCATGAGGTATGCTCATGAGTAGCCAATGTGTTACATGATTCGCTAGGGTAATGTGAGCTACACGTTTACCAGTGATTTACAACTTATATGGTGCAGATATATATGGTTCAAAGTATAAACAAATGTTATATGTTTAAAACTATGTTACAATTGAAGTAATTCTACAAAAGGTAACTTAGATTTATTTATGGTGGTTACAAGGTCAGTCAAACTGACCAACCTCATGTAGGGTAGGGAAAATAACAGAATATGAAGTTTTATTGAAAGAAAAATAGTTTGAAATTGAATTAGGAAGTTTTAGAGGTTATGCAAATAAAATCTGACAATTTTCAGATGAGGAAAAGTATTTCTAATCTTAACATGAAAATCACTGCACTCTGAGCAGTCAACACTCTGATTATATATATATATATATATATTCATGGAGAAATTTTTAGTGAGAATACTTCATTAAAACATGATTTTTTGTCTACTAAAGATTCCTAATGCTTATTGAAAGTTTGCAAAATTTAATGAGGATAAGCAAAACATGTTAGAAGTTATTGTATGGAAACTATAAAGGTCAATTTGGGGTCACGAACTCAGCCGAATTGACTAAGCCTGTAGTGAGAGTGTTAGGTGTATCTTGAAAGGCCATACACATGTACTAATCTTCTTTTGCTTAGGTAAAGTTGCATACACCAATGGCTAGAAGTTACTATCACTATGACCCTGTGTGTGAGACCCCTGAGGTGTAGTTATCCCATTTCAAAGGATGTTCCAGATACTTACACAAATTGATATGAATTAAGGGCTTTTTGTCCATATAAATGTTGTTTGAAATGTGCAGCATTGGATTCTGATATAGCATACTTAACTTTTGGTTTATATTTCACTCTTTTAAAGAAAGACTGCTGTTTTAACTCTAACAACCAATTAAAGGACAACAGACCGACCAGTCAGTATAATATATATGTTGACACATTATTCACTGTGAATAAAGATTTTGTTTATTTGTGTATTTCTTTCCATTACTGCCTGAGTTTGATACATTATCTCCTTGACTTTCGTGATTTTGCATTTCAGAGATACTTTGAAACTTTTCTGCTGTACATCAGTGAACCTGAATACCACAGACTAGTTAAAAAGAAACATTTTGATGTCATGAACTAGGACATGCTATTGCAAAGTTTATTTTGAATATGATCCTTTTTCTGTTTGATTGTCTGGTACTGTAATGATTTTAAGAGCACATAGAACTTACTGCAGAGAGGAGGAAATCATGACTGAAGTGAGGACAAGACTGAAGATTGGAGCATGTGACAAAGACTGTGAAAGGCACCCTTACATTCAGAGCTTTCACCAGTTAGAACAGTCATTGGTCCAGTAAGAGAGGCATAACTGACACACACTATCTGAGTAGTTAGTGTTGGAGAGATTAACATGGACTGATTAAATCAGGCTAAACGTGTATTATTTAGCTAGATTTTTATCTGAGTTATTTTTTAAGTTTACCCTATGTAGCAGGTCTTTCATGACCCCCTAGATGGCTGTTGTTATAATATTGAAAGAAATTTTGATGTGGCCCATTGTGTGCATTATACAACCACCACTACTATCAAAGATTTTTATACAAAGCTTGCATGAAAGCTAAATATTTGAATATTGTTATCAATCAAAAATTGAAAAGTTGTTTCCTATCAAAAAGTTTAGTATTGCTACCAATCAAAAATTTGAATATTGTCACCATAAAAAATGAATATGAAGTTCATTCATATTGGCTTTCCCTTTGTATCTTGGCTACTCAAATTTGAAAGTTAGCAACCAGTTTGGTGTATTTACTTTGTTTTGTTGACTTCACACTTTCAGTAGACTTCTTTTGATAAGTTCATGTTTTGTTTATTAATCTTGGATCAATCAGTAATTCAGGTTTTATTGTGTAGACTGTTTTATGTTCTTTTATGGGTACAACTATTGTTAATTTCTGCATTATCATATGTAGAAAATAGAAAGTGAAATTTCTTTGCAGAAAAATGTCTGAGAGAAGACTATATTTCTTCCATTGCTTCTTTTCTTTCCAATCCAATCTTATACTGTGTTTTCACTTTCTTTCATGCCTTTTCTCCCACCTATTCTTACTGGTTTCTTCTTCTACTCTAATTTCTTTCCTCGACTCTTCAAACTGACTTTCACCCTTTCTTCATAAAAGTTCATACTGCCTTCTTCCATTCCTATTCTTTTTTTTTTTACATTGTCAGAAAATTCAAGAAGAGTGCTTTCCTAAAGTGGACTTTCCTTTATTAATTCCTACTTCTTCTATCCATTCCTTTTTTTTCCTAGCTGTTCAAACTATCTTTCACTGCTACTCTTTCCTTAACTTTTCACACTCTCTCTCATTTTTTCAATATTTTTTCTTTCCCCAACTATTCATATGATCTTTTCTTTTTTCTTTTCCTGTTCTTTCTCCATTTGCTCAATCTACCTTTTTGTTCTATGCCTGTTCTATTCCCAACTGTTCATATTGTCTTCTCTTCCTCTTTCTTATTTTATTTCATTTCTTTCCCCAATTGATCACTCTGCCTCTAGTCCTTTTGTTTTATATTATGTAAATGTTCACCCTCCCATAGTTTATACTTCTGTCTATGAAATTTTTGAATTATCTTTTGTCCTAATCTGGAACATACTGAATGTGGTTGAAGGATGTGTAAAATTCTGTTTGATTTGTCACTTTTTTATAGACTTTCCAATTAAGGAAATTATATGCTGTTTCATTGGGATAGTTGCATTGTTACACATTTTCCCTTGCACTTGGAGGAAAACTTCACAATTGTCAACATAAGATTTTTCTGATTGGTCAGCTACATAGAGAAAATGCTTTTTGGTTGCAGTTTTTGTGCTTTCATGTAAAACTACTTTTGATTCTTGAGAGAAGATTTGTTTCTCACTTGGGAAAGTCGAGACTTATTTTTGATGTATTGTCAAGCCATATAATTGTTGCTTCTGCTGATCATGTCTACTCTACTTCTTTAATTTCCTGGTTAAGGTGATCATAATTTTTATGTATTGTCTGTTTTTGAAGCCTTATAATACTTGCTATGCTGATCATGTCTACTCTACTTCTTTAATTTCCTGGTTAAGGTGATCATAATTTTTATGTATTGTCTGTTTTTTAAGCCTTATAATACTTGCTATGCTGATCGTGTCTACTTTACTTTAATTTCCTGGTTAAGTTGATCATAATTTTCATGTATTGTCTGTTTTTTAAGCCTTATAATACTTGCTTCTGCTGATCGTGTCTACTTTACTTTAATTTCCTGGTTAAGTTGATCATAATTTTCATGTATTGTCTGTTTTTTAAGCCTTATAATAGTTGCTT